ATGGGCGCGCGGGGGCGGGCGCGGGGCGGGGCGCGCATTGTTCGCGGCGGGCACGGCCTGGCGCGCTGCGCTGGGGTCCCGCGCGCGCGGGGGCTGGGCCGGGTCTCGGGCGCCGGCGGGTCTCTCGCGGGCTGGAATGGGCGCCGGGGGGCCTGGGACGGGGGCCGCTCGCCCGCCCCCGGCCCGCTCCCCGGGGCGCCCGCCCTTCTCCGAGCTTCGCTTTCCGGGCAAAGGGCCATTGTTCAGGCCCGAAGGGGGGAAGTGGGCCGCTTCCTGCCCCGGCCTCCGAGGGGCGCTGCTGCGGGGCCCCTCCCGGCCTCTCCCATTCCGCGCGGGGTCCCTCGGTGTGGGGCAGACGTCTCTTGCTTTGCGCGGGAGCCCCACGGGCCGGGAGACTCCGTGCTGGGGCGGGGGGCGGTCTGGCTTGTTTGCCCCGAAGGCGAGAGGGACGAGGCGCCCGGCGGAGGCGAGCTGCCCGGGTTCCTTCTTGCGGCTGCAGGGGTGGAGCCCGGCCCCCAAGACTCGGGGCGGGCAGGGAGAAGCAACTGCGCCCTTCCCTGCTTTCTGCCTCGGTTCTGGGGGACGGAGTGTGGGGCGGGGGCGAGGCTTGAGGACGTGGTTCTAACCTAGGACCGGGTCTCCAGTCGGCCCGCTGGGATTCGGGGCCGTGTCCTGGGCGCGACTGCACGCGCCCCGGGGGAGACCTCGTGCACTCGAGGGTGGCCTGCAGCCCGGGGGGGTCGTGGGCAGGCTGCCGTTTCTTCCCCTCTGCTGAGGTCCGTGCTGCCCCTTCAGTCACCTGGGTCCTGAATCAGACCGAGTCAGACTCGCGGTAGGGGAGCCCCGCGCCAGCCCTAAGTCTTCCCGCATCGAGACAGTTTAACCCCATGAAAATCCATTTTGTGGTTTTGTTCTGCCTTGAACGGAGCCGCACCGTGCTCTCTCTGCAGGGCGGGTCAGAAAGTCGTGTTTTGTTGCAGGAGAATGTCTAAAAGGAACTTTTGCTCGTTAGAGCCATATTCATAAAGATTCTGCAGAAGAAATGTACTTTCTGTTGCTGTTTTTGTTGTTTAACGGAAACGCCTGCTGTAAAAATTGGGAACTGCGGAAGCCCATCTTTCAATTTCTGGCATGTTTTGCACTTTATTTGGCTAAATATGCTACATTCATTTGATATCCTGGAGAGACTTTGGGTAACATTTGCAAACTTAGATTCTGCTTCGGAAGAAGGAAGGAAGGAGGGGAGGACTCCCGTGGGGGTGCAAATGATGGCTCACTCTGGAGGGGCCCCAGCCCAGAACCCTCGTTTTGGGATGACACCTGCGATCCTGGGGTGCAGAGAGTCGCTTCTAATCTCCAGCTCTTTCCGTAACCTTGTCTTCTGGAACTAGGCAGTAAATTGTGGAGTTGAAGACAAAGGTGTATTTATTGTAATCCTAAAAACAGCTGGATCAGTTTTCACTCAGGTTTCCTTGCGGAATTTGTCTGGGGTGTGAGGGTTTTGTCCTGGAAGTTTCTGGTTTCCTCTTGGTGACCCATGGTTCCCTGGGATACTTGATGATGATGGTGATGATGATGATTTTTAGGGAAAGGAAGCTTAAAAGGGGGAATTCTTTCTTGCCCTTAGAAATAAGTTTGTCTAGAATTTGATCCTAACTTATGAAACAAGAATCAATTTCCTGGAAAGTTTAACACATATCTCATCCATTCAACTTCAAACACCCAGTTTGGGTAAAAATAGCGTTCAGATAATTTACTTGGAGACAACGATATGACCGACTTTGACTAGAATTAAAGGAGCAGATAAATAGGGTGAGGGTTGATCCAAAATTTGTGAAGTGTCCCATTAAAGACAAAACAGAAGAAGGGAGTTTCGAAATAATTTCAGTGAATCTGATTACGTCAAAATATGGGTTTGGGCCATAGCAGATTCTGTCTTCCGTTTTGACGGTCCCATTTAAGAATTACTAAGACAAGTTTGAACTCATTTTCTTACTCATCCAACAAAGACTTACTCAGCATTTGCTGTCGTCCCGGCAGGATCAGACGGAATCTGTGGTCCGTAGCTGCGAGGTCCAGAGAGACCTTTCCGGGATGATGGGCGTGGCTGGTACCTGCCCTCGTCCCCTCCTCCGCCATCAGCCACCTGTAGCTACTCCGTGAGCATGGGACATGTGGCCAGTGCTACGGAGGAATTGAATTTTTTTTAAAGATTTTATTTATTTATTTGACAGACAGAGATCACAAGTAGGCAGAGAGGCAGGCAGAGAGAGAGAAGAGGAAGCAGGTTCCCCGCCGAGCAGAGAGCCTGAGGCGGGCTCAATCCCAGGACCCTGAGATCATGACCTGAGCCGAAGGCAGAGGCTTTAACCCACTGAGCCACCCAGGTACCCCAGGAATTGAATTTTTAATTGTATTTAATTTCAAGTAACAGAGATGTCATCGTCACCTGTAGTTGGAGGTCATGTACGTGGACGGTCCAGGCCCACAGGGATGCGGGGGGGTAGCCTGTGATCCCACTGCGGGCAGAAGTAGCGCCGGTACCTGAATGAATGCTGAGGCACGTGCAGTTTGCTTCTACTCCCGTGTAGGTTTTCCTGCACACGAGGGTGTCTGCAGCCTGTACAGAAGGACACTAGACACACAGGCGTATAGGTGTGCCTTCAGATCAAATCCTTTGTTGAATGCCCTTTTCTCTCCATGCAAGTGGCAGAGCCGAGGGCGAGCATGAGCTCACTGGTGTCTGAGACGTCGCTCAGACGGGAGCAGCAGTGTTGGTGAACCGAGAAGCTGGGTTGGGAGCAAGGAATGGCGGGGTCGCTCCTGATGGGAAGGAAGTCAAGGCTTGAGATGAAGCCAGCATCCCGTGCTCTGCCCCACTGGACCGCAAAAACTAAGCACCAGGAGTCGTGCCTTACAAAGCAGCTTCAGGGCACCTCTTGGTTCCCACAGAGCCTGGGTGCTGACTACAGTCAGGGTTGGCTGTGAAAGGAGGACCCGTCGCCGTGTCCACTGGGCAGTTTGCGTGGAGGGGGCTCAGGGCCCGCAGCAATACATTGCAGCATCTTTAACATGTAACGTGATGATTTGGCCCCCGCCCCCGGGTCCCCTCGCGTGGGCAAGACCGAGGTGTGGCGTACTGGCGAGCCGTGTCACGGGACTCTGACTTCGTGGGCGCAGAGGATAAGTACTGCGTATGCGTGAGACAGTGTTTAGGTGTCAGAACCCAAGTGAAAATAAGCACGGCTAGGGCGCCCGTGGAAGTCCCCAATTCCTCAGTTTGTCTAAGGATTCTCTGGGCACACCTCGCAAATACTGACCCCAGCCCAGAGACCCAGGAGACCCGCAGCTCTGTTGTTGAAAACGTGTCTTGCCTAGGGCAGCCTGTCCCAGCCCTCCTTCCACATGGGAAGGAAAGGACTCCTAGATGGCTTCAGATCTGCCCCTGGAACCGGTCCTGTCCTTTCCACAGGGGCATGGTGGGGACGGCCAGGCCAGGTGTGGAAGGAGCCCCGCACAAACCGGACCTCCCCGCCTCGGATGCTTGGGGCAGGGGACACTAATGAACACTGTCACAAGCAGTGAGAAGGAGACAGTTAACCAACCCCTTTACGAGGTTGCCTTAGAGACCACACCACAGCCCCCCGTGGGAGAGCTCCCGTTGCAGAAGGCTTTTATCTTAAACGGTGCCGTTTATTAATTTTGCAATCAAATCAGTCCGCAATTCCAGCATCTCCCCGTTAGGGTCAGTGCGGTGATGAACGCCTTTATGTTTGCCCGTGCAGGGCGCCGGCACGTCTGCAATGGCAAGCCTAGACTGTGCATCAAAGGGCACGGGGATCTGCTGTTTTTGTTCGGAATTGCCCAGCAGTCCCCGAGGGTCTGCTCTGATTTACGCTCCTGCCCCAGATCGATGGGCTTGAGTCTGTCCCTGCACTCTGGGACGTAACGGCAGACCTGGGAGCTGTAAGTTCACCCGAACGTGCTCAACGCTTGGGTTTCTGTGGTTTCCTAACACAGATCAATCGCGTCTGTCGCACGTCCCACATCTGCTTTTTTTTGCAGAATTGTTCAAACGTAAAACGATTTTATGAGCACAGTTTTTTTCCGGTGCGAAACGCATTATTTTCACAAATTTAAAAATGACTTACACTTAACGAAGTTCTAGAATCTGGGGTGACTACTCGGAAGCCATTAATTAGTTTGGGGTTTCAGAACGGCAAGCGAAAGCCCATTGACGAGTTTGCTAATTGTTCTTCCTGGCTGCTGGAGGTGATCTCAAGCGTCCTCTATCAGTCCTTTGAGCTCCACCGATACAGCCACGGGCTCGGGGAACGGGGGTCCGAGACCTGGGCTGCAAATCCCCCTCTGAGTCAAACACACGTCCCATCTCCATGCCGTTGTTCGTTGGGACACCTTTTGTCTGAAAGAACCCAAACCAAAGAGATGTCATTTAGTTCACACAAAACAAGAGATTTCCACTGCCTTTTAAAACCCTGCTGCTTTTTTTTTTTAAGAGATGATATTTAGGGGCACCTGGGTGGCTCATCGGTGTCTGCCTCTGGCTGGGGTCGTG